CAGAAAAAAGTCATTTTCTAAAAAATTAAAGAAAAACTTGTTGATTGATAAAATAAACAACAACAAAACCCAATTCCCATATATATGGGGTAAGGGGGAGGTAGGGTAGTAGGCTGCCCCCAACGTCAGGTTGAGAATAGCTTCCGTGAAAGACCTCCGGCAGTCAGAAAATTAAAAATATAGATAAAATGCAATGCATGTATAAATAATTACATAAATACATAGCTAAAACAGTATTCATATGCAGTCATTAATATCATATGTGCTTCTGTAATGGGGAGTAATCCCTGCAAAATAATCCATGCGAAATAATCTCTGCATATAGACAGAAACCTAAGACCCGACTAAATTTAATAGAGGAAACATGACGGGAATGATACACAGAAGACAACGATAGCAAGCCCAGGTCTAATCTTTCATAAATACCAATAACAGAAAAGTATAAAAAGTAAAAGTCATGGAAATTACTACAAATGCATTTAAAAGAAGACAAAGATGATACACCCTATAGATGTGACTCACACTACTCGACTACCCTAGTCTTAAGCCTCCATAATTTCCTATCATAGGTCATGTCTTCGGTAAGGCCTAAATCCATCAAATCAGATCTCAAGCAGTCATCCCACTTCCTCATTGGTCGTCCTTTCCTTCTGGCACCGTCGACTGTAATCGACTTTACCCTCCTGACCGTATCCGACGGTAGTCGCCTAAGGACGTGCCCAAACCACCGTAGTCTTCCCTCCCTCATTTTTTCGGAAACATACACCACCCCTAAGGACATCCTAATAGCAGAGTTTGTCGTCATATCCCACAGAGTCCTACCACATGTCCATCGAAGCATTCTCATTTCTGCGGCCTCTATCCTCCTTACGTGATCCTTCTTGGGTGCCCAACATTCTGATCCATACAACAGCGCTGGTCTTATTGCCATTCTATAAAATTTTCCCTTAAGTTTTAGAGGCACCATCTTGTCACACAAAACTCCAGTAGCGGCCCTCCACTTTAGCCATCCCGCCTTTATACGGTGTGTAACGTCATCATCTACACCCCCATCTTTATGTATCATAGACCCTAAGTACTTGAAACAATCCTTTGAGGGAAGAACGTGTCCTTCTATGCATACTTCTACATCTTCATCGTTTTGGTTCCCATTGAAGTTTGAACATAAATACTCTGTCTTTTCAATATTGATCCTTAAACCTTTTTCTTCCAAAGCAGTCTTCCAGGTAGCCAGTCTACTATTCAACTCAGATTTTGTTTCAGCCACTAAGACAATGTCGTCAGCGAAAAGCATACACCAAGGTACACCGTCTGGTGTCGCACAATAGATGTCGTCCATAATCAAGGTGAAGATGTAAGGGCTAAGAGCCGACCCCTGGTGGAGTCCGATTTCCACCGGGAATACCTCGGTGTCGCCAACTGTAGTCCTGACGTAAGTAGTAGATCTACAGTACATATCACGAATCGCCCGGATATAAGCAGTTGGTATCCGTCTCGTTTCCAAAGTCTTCCAGATCGTATCGCGAGGAACGCTATCATAAGCCTTCTCAAGGTCAATGAACGCCATGTGAAGATCTCTAGACTTTTCCCTATATTTCTCCATAAGCCGTCGAAGTAGATGAATCGCCTCCGTGGTAGACCTGTTTGGCATAAAGCCAAATTGGTTTTCCGAAACCCTAGTGACTTGTCTCAACCTAGCCTCTATCACCCTTTCCAATAGCTTCATGGTATGGCTGAGTAGTTTAATACCTCTGTAGTTACCACAACGTTGGGGATCTCCTTTATTTTTATAGATTGGTATAACCGTAGACTCTCTCCACTCCTCTGGCATCTTGGAAGTCTCTAAAATAATATTAAAGATGTTGGTCAACCACTTAACTCCCTCATCTCCTAGGGCTAACCACACAGTGATAGGAATTTGATCAGGACCGACAGCTTTCTCCCTTCCCATCTTTCTAAGAGTCATTTTGACTTCCTCAAACCCAATCCTACTTGTAGGGCAGTCATTCGCGTAATATGATGGTCGGCTGACCCAACAATGATATTATCTCTACATGGAGAGGCACCGTCATTAAATAAGCCAAAGAAGTAACTACCCCAAACCCTCTTAATATCATGATCTTTCGTTAAAAGAACACCATTGTTGTCCTTAATAAACCTAATGTTACCTAGATCCTTTTTCCTAATCTCCCTAGATTTTGCAAGTCTGAAGATGCCATTTTGTCCTTCCTTAGTGTCTAATCTCTTGTACATTTCCTCATATGCCTTATCCTTTGCTTTAGCTACCGTTTTCTTGGCTTCTCGCTTTGCCTCCTGGTATCTTTGTTTAGCTCTCGACCTTTCTTCGTCGTCATTGCATTGAAGAAACTCCTTGAAGCAAGTTTGTTTTGTCTTCACCTTAGTTTGGACTTTGTCGTTCCACCACCACGATTCTTTATGTTCCTTGGCCTTCCCCGTCGACAACCCAAGGGTGTTTTTGCCCACCTCTCTGATGGAATTTGCCATATTTTTCCATAACATATCTGCTTTATTTGAGTTTGTAGTTTCAAAACCTATATTAGACAAAAGCTTACTCCTAAAGTCATCAGTTGTCGCTCCATGTAAGTTCTTCCAGAGGATCCTAGGTTTACCTAGTTTAGCCCTCCTATGAGTGCTCCGCCCGTTGGGTACGCGGAACACCAAAATCAACAATTTGTGTTGTGATGCACATGCCTCTTCAGGGAACACCTTACAGTCAATGCAAGCCCATCGTTCCCGATTTCTAACCAAGATGAAGTCGATTTGGGTACAATGTCCCCCGCTATGAAACGTAATCAAGTTCGCATCTCTTTTATTAGATAAGGAGTTAGTGATCACCAAATCGTGAGCAGTAGCAAAATCAAGCAACGTACGCCCCTCATCATTCCTGCTACCATAACCGAAACCCCTATGAACACCGTCATACCCGTCGATTGCACTACCTATATGGCCATTGAAGTCTCCCCCTATGAAAACTCTTTGGTCCTCTGGAATGCTCCTAAGTACAATATCTAACTGATCCCAGAAGCAACGTTTCTCCCCCTCCCCTAGGCCAACGTGTGGAGCGTACACTGAAAGGACATTCACCACTTCCGCTTCTATAATAACCTTAATCATCATGATCCTATCCCGGTATCTACAAACTTCAACTACATTTTCCTTGAGACTAGAGGATACCAAGATACCCACCCCATTTCTAGCGTTATCTACTCCTGAATACCACAACTTGTACCCATTACACTCTCTGGCGCGAGCCCCTTTCCACCTAGTCTCCTGAATACATGCAAAATCTATTTTCCTATTACTAAGTACGTCTGTCAGCTCCAGCAGCCTAGCATTTAATGTGCCTACATTTAACGAACAAACTCTAAGTCTAGTCTCCTTGACACCACTCTGTTGAGCCCTCCCCCTATACGCCCTATGGGTTCTAAAAGAATGACATGACCTCAAGTAATCATCTATAATCGAAGCTATGAGGGACTATGAAAATGAAATCCAAAGAAGAAAGAAGATGCACCAATAAAACGCTAGAGAATTGAGGGTACTAAGAAGCCTAGTTGGTTACTTAATAGGATTCGCTTTTCTAATGGAACAAAATAGAAATGGAGAAAAAATAGAACAAAGAACCTTCAATTACGGGTCAAACTCGCCGGTGGGAAGTTGATTTTCGTAAAAATAAGCTTTTTGTTTTTGAAAAAAAAAAGTCAAATTAAAATTAACTAAAGATTATAGAGATTCTAAAACTTTCTGAAAATTAGAAAGGAGAAGACAAGAGGAAAGAAACGCACTGAGGAACAAAAATCAAATGGCTGAGAGAGTAGATCTGGGGATTTGCAGAGCTAAAAGCAAAGGAAGAGAGCAACAGAATTATTAAATTTATTTTGCATGAACCGAAGAGGAGTTAAAGGAATTTTCAACAGTTTTAAAGCTGAGAATATTTGAGTTTAGAGAGGAGAAATCAAATCGGAAAAACACAGGAGATGGGACTGTCCAGTATTAAATCAGACTCTTTCGCTTCTTTTCTTGCCTCCTAAAAAGATGAAATTTTTCTTTCTTCCCAGCGTTGATGCTGGCGTGTATGAGATGATCAAAGTCTCAAATAAGAAATAAAATATGTATAACGAAGAAAACCCAAATCCAGATCTAGATCTTGCATCAAACCGTGAAAGAACAGTCAAGACAAATCAAAGCACACACCTTTTATGCATACATATACATCTAAACAAAAATCAAAGGAAAGCAGAACACATAAATAAGATATGGGAGATGAGAAAACTAGCACCAGGCCGACTACAAAACAAAGAGAAACTCTAGTTTGCGAAAATTTTCTCGCGGTTTCTCGGAAACCCACCAAACAGAAAAGCAAAGCAACAGAAATCAGAATGAGTAAAAGAAGAAGATCATACAGTGGGCTGGTTGAATCAATCTATTTTTATCAATTAAATATATTGAAGTAAACATATTAATGAATTTTTGAGTAAACTATATGTTTAATATTTAACTACCACTTTTATTCTATTTTGATCATGTAACTATTTTTTGTCTCAAAATCATACTTAAAATTATGTTTTATTTTCATTTTGATCACTCACTGTTAAAAAATTAATGGTAATATTGATATATCATCGTAAAGTAATGACACATCATAATTGAAAAAATCTAAATAAAATATTATATCAATAGTTCTGTTAATTTTTTAACAGCAAACGATTAAAATAAAATCAAAACATAATGTTATTCATAACTGTTTAAAAAATAATAGTTATGTAAATAAAATAGAATAAAAATGATAGTTAATGATATTAAACGTTTATTTACCTTTAATGTTATCATTAAGATGAAGAAAATTTTTGGAAAGAGAAGTAAAGGCACCCCAAATTCCTTTATTTCTTCAGAAATCAAAATAATAAACAATTTGGCTGCACGTCGTTTATAAAATTCCTCACCTTCTCTAATAAACTCTCGTCGTGGAATTAACGATAATTGTATTTTATTTTTCTTATAGTTTCAAGGGATTGGGTATCTCCATACATGCCTTTTCCCGTTACCCATAATCGAGAAGATTTTCTATATTTTCGTCTTTAAAGATTACCGCTGTTTATCTGATATTCAGTGTAGGGTTTGTTTTTCTTTTTTCTGTTTCGGTTGTCCCCCTTTCATATTTATTTAATTCCAAATGGATGTTCGCTTCGATAGCTGGTAGCAGAAAATATGCTCTATTTAAGGTCATTTTCCCCTTTTCTCTTTAATTGCTTGTTTTCATTCTATTATATCTCTGGGTTTTCTGCTGCGTAGCTTGTTTAGTGCTTCAATTACCTTTTTTTTCCTTTTGGGTCAGTGCATTCGCTAATATTATGCTTAGTATGTGTTGATTGCTAATTTCTGCTGTTTTCATTTAATTGCTACTCTTTACTTTGCTTTGCTTTAGCTTTTAATATTGGGTTTACTAGATATTTTTTACATTTATTTTAGAGCATGAATTTATTAGTAAATTAGTACATTTGTTTGTGTGGATATAGGGATCTTTGGAGAAGGCATAGGAGGAAGGTTTTGGTTACAGCAGGTGTTTTTGGAAGTGGGTATTTGTTGTATAAGCTATATGATGCTCACAAACGCAGGCTTACTGATTTGGAAAGGCAAGTTGCAAGAGAGAAGGAAAATGATGAATTCATTAAAGCCCAGTAAGATTGATCAAAACTGTTATGATCTTTGTGGAACAAATCGCTCTATTGGTTCTTATGTTTCCTGATTTTTTGTAACGTTGGCAGAATGCAAGTCCATTTTGACAACATTCAACGAATTGCTGTTACAGCAACATTGCCTCATGCAATGCACTATTTAAGTTGTCAGATAGATGAAGATTTGAACCTTTCACATCTTACAGATAGACTGATGAAAGGGAAGGTTCAGCCCAACAGTTTGTCTTCTTCAGAGAAACTTGAATTATGGGATAGACTCAAAATTTTAAGTAAGATGATGTTGCTTATTGTTTTCTTAGCAATTACTGCTCTGGATTTTATAAATTGCAAGTTCTTAAGCCATGCTGATGTATATATTCTTTCAAATTGATAGTTGATTTGATTTTTTTTCCAGGTTTTACTAGAATGGTGGTGTCAATATGGGCAGTAACAATTCTCAGTTTATATATTAGAGTTCAAGTCAACATTCTTGGAAAACATTTATATATCGATACTGCATGTGGTCTTGGAAGCTCTCATTTACTTGTAAGAGCACTACATTTTTATCCACAATGCTTGATAGTATGTTCAATTCATAAATTATTAGCTGCAATTGATTTGCGAAACCGTATCAACTTACAGCTTTTGCCTCTTCATATAGTGAAATTACTCTGAGTTAATTAAGTCTAAATTTCTCAGTTTTAATGCTAGTTGGTATATCCGCATGATTTCGTTTTAGTTGCCTTAAGTGCTTGAGAAACAGAGGACCTCATACAGGAAATTTTTAAGAATTCAGTACTTATAATCATTTTTTACTCAATCTAATTTGAATGTTTATTTGGGTACTAAAATGTGAACTTATTTTTTGTATAATCCTTTGTCTAAGCCTGTTGGAAGTGTTTGTGAAAATATTAAGATAGTAATGAGACTTCAATTCATACTAGGTGCTATGTTTTATAGCCACAATGTTGACCATATAAATAAGTAGTACTTATTGTATGTGTTAACTGAGATTTAGTGAGATTTTTGTAGATTAAACCGTCTATGGTTGTAATCGACTTGACCCTCTAATCTTCATCAATTCCCCCCCCCCTTTTGCTATGTGATTGTGAGTCTTCATTTTTTTCTGTATTGTTTAAGCCATCGTCTTATTGTTAGGTAATATCACTGAATAGTCTCATTGTCGATTTCTGTCATTTACCTGGTATCTGTTGGCCCCATAAATCTTAGTTATGATCTTTCAGGCGTCTTTGATTATCTTATTTTCTGAAGATGGTCTTTGTGCCTTTCATGCAGGAGGATGCTGATCCAATTGACAGGGATGACCAGCAAAAATTTCTGGCAAGTGCTGACTTTCTTGCTAGTCATGGCTTGCGAAAATTGATTTGCGGTATGCAGACAGCAGCAACAGAAGTTTTGAAAGCGTATGTGATTCTCCAATTATTTATCTCTTCCTTTTGGTTTATTATTCTTGAATCAGCATTTTTGTAAGTATAAGCTAGAAAAGGATTAGATATGTAAATATTTCACCAAAGAACATAGCCATAAAAGAGAAAAATGTAGGAAAATTATTTATATAGCCAGCCCAAATTGGTTTTTATGTTAATGCTTGATTGAGGTTAGCATTTTCAATCATCCATCTTCAGATAAGGTATGATCTGTCAATTTTATCTTCCAGTTTGTGGGGTAATCCATTCACATTCCTTCTAATCAAATAGGATTTACACTGTATTGTATAATCTATACCCTATAAAATTATGGACATCGAAAATCCTTTGAACTGACGGATATGATTGGTCATTATATTTCTAAATTGCCGGCTTAAATTTTATAATTTAAATAAAAATTCTTCTTCAATTGAAAGACTTTCATTATTGTTTATTATGGTTGTAAATTGCCATTTTTAGATATTATGATTTAAATATTAACGAGATTTATTAATGTAAAACGTACTATTCTTTATGTTATTGTGATATATTATATATACGGAACAAATTTTGAGTTATTTAGAATTCATTTTTTTTTAATTTCATTTTTTATCTTCTACACCTTACATGAACTTTACATCGGTAATATGAATGTTATTAATTTCATATATTATTTTCTTGGGCATGGTACTAATTTTAAATATTTGTACAAAAACAAAACTATGTATTCATTGTATAGTTCTATTTAAAAGAGGTATTCACATGTAGGTCATGTGTCAGAAAAACTTCTGAGGTATAAAGCACTTAGGACTGAAAACAGTAATGACAATGACTATCGTGACGTGTGTGATGCTTCTATTCCCAGAAGTCGATATCCAACCCTAATATTCCTGAAAAGGGATTTCTGATATTGTTCAAAACTCTTTAGATTATGTAGTCTTGTTTGAGTTTACTTTATTACACTTTTCACTAAAGGGTAATGTGATGTCTTCTAGACATTTAGACCCTGAGAGAATAAATTCAAAATGATTAGGAGGCAAGAGTTGAAAGTGAAATACACATCAAGAACAGTCCTTTGAGAAAACCTCCTGAACTTTATGACATGCAAGTTCTATTTGCCTTAATATTCGGAGGACACTACTATGAAACTTCTTGTTTTTCCCTGAAATCAATATAATAGAATGCTTCATGACTGTTATCTTAGATTATTGAGAGCATTGGGTGAACATTAAAGTTTCCTCACATGGCTCGGATTTTTGCGACTTTCTTGCAGAGAGCAGTTGAGGGATTTCTTCAATACTGCAATACTTCATCAAACTATCATGCAGATACTTGACATGTTCCTTAGCATGGGAAGTCCTCATCACTGGGTGGATTGCATGATGCCCGAGGACCCAAGATCACACAAGCTTGCCAAAACATCCAGCAGTGGTGAAACAAATCCTCTTGAGTTTACACAATTTGATCAACTTATGGTTGAGACTCGAGAAGTAGTTTCAAGGTATCATTGGTACATTGGCCTAGAAAATATTGTTTTATTGTGCTTTCTGTTTAGCATTTTAGGAGTCTTAGAAGTGATCAAAGGGGTGGTGTGGTCGATTACATAGCTCCATTTTGTCTCAACAAAGGCTTTAACACCAACCATTATCATTTAATAATTATAGTGTAAAGCATTGCTTGCGAAAGAAATGACGGAAACATTTATAAAAAATGATGATGCTTAAGTCTTAAATTACTGCCATTATTTTTTCTTTTCTACGTTTCCTTTTATTTTCAACCTTTTTGGGTAAAAAGGAGGGAAGGAGGAAAAGGGTTGGGGCGTGCATACTTCAATTTAGGGGCACTTTTGGGGTAATGAATTGATGATTGATTATGTAACCTAGAATATGTAATGAAGGGCTACCTACAATGTGGAACTTTGAGGAGAGTACGTGGCCTTGTCGGGGTAGGGCTTCGTAAACTTAAGACTTCATATTTGGGGTTTCTTTGTGGTGGCCTTGTCAGGGTAGGGCTTTGTAAACCTAAGACTTCATATTTGGGGTTTTTTGGGGATGACCGACTAGGAGTAAAGAGCAGGAAGTTCCACCTTGTTTATATTCCTTAAAAAAAAGGAAATGCAAAATATAGGAAGAGTAGGGGATAATTGTTTTTTTATGATTTTGTATTGTTATATCCTAGTTAAACCAAGATATTAAAATAACCTCCAAAGAGGAACCATGCCTTCCAAATCCCCTCGGTACTTGGGAAGGTATTATGGATCATGAGGGAGAGGGAAATGTTCTGAAAAGGAAAATAAAAAACTTTAGTTTCCTTAATGGTGAGATGAAAGGTTAATTAGCGAATAAAACACAGGCTTTTAATAACTGAATTGAGAAGAAACCAGCCTGAGCATGTCAAGTCTTGCTGTCTGGACCTCCTGGAATATACTATTTCATAATTATCACATCATTTTTAAGTCAGGCAGGCCTTCTTATCTCAGAATAATGCTCTGAACGAGACTACCTGCCGCAAAGCATACATTTTGTGGCAGTTGAGAATTTTAATGACTATTCTTTCACCCCATATTTCTTCTTTTATTTTGAATTCATTGTGGTGGAACCTGATAAATTTTTTCCTTCTTGCCTGTATTGAATTGTTGACATTTAGATTTTAGACCTCAAAAAGAAAAATTTAATTATAGATGTTATCTGCGAACGATTTATGTGCAGTCAAATGTTAATCTCGTGTTGATAACTTTGTGGTGTCAAAGTTTGAAATCTGTTCGTCTTGTGTTGCAGTGCTGAATTTGGTAATGTTGTTGAATTATCATTAAAAGCAGTAGCGAAAGCCCTGGTGGAGGATAAGAGCTTTCAATCTGGAGGAGGCAGTCTAACAAACGGGATGCCACTAGCTAGACTTTTGCCTCGAATAGCACAGATATGTCCGTCTTTGGTTGAGGAACCAAGCAAAAACCAGTTTATCAAAATCATACAAAATGTTCCAGAAGTAGGGCTCTTCTTCACACTCCTCTATTCCAGTATGTCGGCCTCATAGAGACCATGTTTGTAATCTTAATTCACATTTAATTTACCAAAGGGCATCTGCACCGATGCAAAGATTCTCCAAATGGGGCTAGGTTTGAGGTTCAAAATCAAGTTGCTGAAGGAGCTAATGATTATTCCACTAGTTTGTATTGTTTTGGGTATCATGTTGGTTATTTGTTTGAAATGTTGCTAAAATGAAGGCTGAGATTAAGGGGCAAGGGGCTTTACATTTATCATTTGTTATCTGCTTTGAAATTATAGGTGAGACCAAGTCATCAAAGGTCAACATGGTACCATGTATTTCGTTGATATGCTGCTTGCTTCTGCCACATTTCTTCTATTAACCCCGGATCAAACTTTGAGGTTCAAAGTACAATTTAAGTTTGAGAATTGACTCTGAATACTAACACTAAGCATTATAATTTTCAGCATTTGTTTACCATGTGTAATCACCATTTTTTTGTGAATTTATTAACAATTAAATAGTTTTACTAACATGTTTGTTAATATTTTCAGATTTAATTGTCTTTAGACTTAAAGAATAAATTTGTGTATTGTACATTATTTATTTCTTTTTATGTTTTTCCTCACACACTGTGCACTGTATATTCATGACATGAGCTAAAACTCCGCTCTTACTCTATTTAGCTTGAATGAGAAACTATTTCCTCGTGTGGTTTTCACCTTCGTATGGACATAAGGAAGTGTGTTCCTTCGAATTGAATTCAATCCGAAAGTCTGTAATGGATCAGGATTGAGGATTTGGCAGTCCAAGGGGCACCAACAAAGGACAATTCGATAACCCTTTTACCTTAGATCCAAACCTAGCATATAATAAATCTAGAACTCGAATCTAGTCAGAGCCTAACTCAAGAGAATCTCGTAAGGTTAACACACAAGGAAAAGCATGTTGAGTCTTAATTTACTTTATTTTCCTAATAAATGCATGCGAACTAGAAATCATGTAGTAAGATTTATTTCTCCAAATAAAGGATGGAACTAGATTACATGAGGTTAGGATTTTTATTACATTTTTTATCATTTTCATTATGTATTACATTTTTCATACCATGGTGGTAATTTATGATTGATGTTCATATAGAAGGCTAGAAATATGGAACGAAGAGTCTTGCATGAAGTAGAAAATAATGCAGATGTGTCTGTAATATGTTTAAAATTTCGTTTTAGTATAAAAGTTGTTCTAAGGAATCAGGTCAATATCAACACCTTTTTGCATACATGCATTTGCATTCTTATTTTTGCATTTCTGCATTTTTTACATTTTCATTTTACATTCACATCTTTGCATTTGCATTCGCATCTTTACGTTTGTATTTATATTTTCATTTTTTGCATTTGCATCTTTGCATAGTTATATTTATAGTTTTAATCTTACATCTTACATCTTACATCTTACATCATGCATTTGCATTTTATTTTAAACTACTTTACATGCATTAAATCATGAAAACATGGGACTAATCAGTGAAGGATTCTGAAATCAGGAGTTCTGAAAGTGCATTCAAGAATTGGGGCAGGTCTCTAAAAGATTGAAATCAATTAATGGAATATTAGCACGAGTTGGAAAGATTGAGAGAATCCAAGAGCAACTTGTAAAGATTCAACAAGAAATGACTGATCATGCAAAAAAGTTCCAAGATGATTCAAAAGAACAAATGACCACGTTAATGGACCTGGTGAATGTTGTGATCCATGGAGAGAAACCCTTAGAGAATCCCGTTGTGAAGGTTGTGAATAAGGTTTTGAATGATAATGATGAGTTCGAAGTGATATTGTCTGATGATCAAGAACCTATTAGGGAGCATGATAATTCAAGACAGCTTAAAGATTTGGTCCCAGGGGGCATTGGTGAATTAATGGTGAATGAAGAATCAATGAAAGAAAAAGGTTCCTTTGTGAGAGATAAAATTTACCCAAAGAAGAGAGGCATAGAAAATGGTCAAAGGCTGATTAAGAAGAAAAAGAATATGTAGGGTTTTCAATTCCCTCCCTTCTACTTTTCGAGTGAAAATTTGCATTCAAAAATGCTCTCAGCAGAATTAATTACTCCACGATATGTCCAGCCACAATGGCCTCCAAATGAAAAGTGGACGTATAAGGAGGCTCCTTGGATAAACGAGTTTGGAACTCCAAATTGTTTAGCTAAGGGTCCTAGTAACCTTGAGGGAAATTTACAAGATCCTTTAGAGCAAGCAATTCAAAAGTGCAAGGTAGAATAAGGGATTAAAGTTCAATGCTCAGAAATCATTGCCTCGACAGAGACTCATGTGATCAAATCCTGTGAAGAATATCAGATGCAAGAAAATGGGAAAATAAATCAAAGTAAAAAGGCTCCCATGGATGTAATTCGAGACTGGCTCATAAGTTTAAAAATAAACTAGGAAGATGCCACAATGAAAACATATCAAACACCCATATCAGACTTCCTGCGGACAGATGGGGTTTTGGGCAGTTTAGAGAACCTGACGAATACTACGCCCATCACAGCTGCAATATGTGTTTACAACCAGGACAAAGCTATTGTCACCAATGAGAATTGTTTTGAGCCCAACTTCCAATTAATAAATGAGGAGATGAGATCTGAACAAAAAGTTGCTAAGAAATAAGTAGAAACTGATGCGACTGAGGAATCATCCAAACGAGCCCGGATAAGAGAAATGATCAAAAGATGGGGAGCAAATGAGGACAAAAACTCTGGTCCAATTATAAACCCAACATTCTAGGAATGATAGGGTAAACCTAATAAACAAGTGGAAGTTGTTATCTACCACTGTAGTACTTTCTATTTTCAACATCTTGTTTGATCATGTTTTTCTTGTTCCTTTCTCCGCCTTTTTGTGATAAATAAATTTGTGTTGCTTTTATGGTTATGAGCAAGGAATCAAATTTTAATCTTGAAGTTTTTGAGTATCAAGTAAATTAAATATTCTTTTAATTTTCAAGAGTCATAGATATTTGGCAAGTGGTAAAATTATACCTTCCATATCCCATCCAACGCCAATTACTTGATCCTTACAAAAACCAAATCCTGACACTACATTTATCTGAGACTCTGAAATAATGTGTCTACCTATTTTTGAGACACCAAATCCATATGTTTATATTCTCGAGTAAAGTTGATTGGTTTTCCACCATATACACGACTTCAAAAGTCACACCTTTGTCATTCTAAATACAAAACTGTCATACTGATGAAACGAAAAGACCTCAAAAGGACCAAACATGCATTTATCTATTAACCTTCTTGCAAGAAGAAACGAGATTAGGCATCATAGATCAATTTGTTGAAGAAAAGTTTGAGTAATTAGGGTATACTCAAAGCAAGAAGAAGAAAAAAGAAAAAAGAGGGATTGATTTTTTATGTAAATGAAGTCAATCCTGAATATTCATCCCCTTGGGATACCTCTTTTTACAAAGCTTTCTGTGTATGAAATGATGAACGACCTTATTTCATTTATCCCTTCGTAAAAGGAGAAAAATATATCACTTGTTGTCCCTATTTGAGTCTGAATGATTTTTTTTCTGATTCAACCCTAACCAAAGATCACCCTCCACACTGGGGGGCAAGGTGAAGGATATCTGCTCACATGAATAAAGATCGTCAATCCAGTTTTATTACGAAGATAAATCTCCATGAAGTAAAGAGAATTTTGAACCACAAGGTAGGCCAAATAAAAAGTTCTTGAAGATCAAATCCAGTCAAGAATAACGAAAGAATTTTCGAAATGCAAGAGAAAAAAGAGGTGCTCAAAGAAATTGAAGTCCTATACTCATACATCAGAAAAAAAGAAGAAAAAAAAAGAAAAAAGAAAAAAAGAAATTGAATCAAGGTGAGTGACTCATTGAGCCTCAAGCTACAAGGTTGATCAAGTGCAATCAGTTCAAAGATTCATAGTCAACAAGAAACGCAAGAAATGTTTGAGATATAAGAGGGATCCAGAAAAAGCAATGATGAAATACAAGTAGCAAAGAAATGATCCAAGTCAAGCAAGGCAATATTGAAGGCATCATAATGAATTGATCCATGGTGTAATTACCCTTAAACACTTTTTTGGGCCTATTTATCCATTTCTTTCATAACCATGAGCTCTGGCCTACGTTACGTACCTAAAAAGTCCATTCTAATCATACATGGATTTCTAAGTAAAAGAAACTATCTTCAGATTTCATTTCGCTTCTCAGGATTGATTTTTTATTTGCAAAAATTGTTTTTTTAATCTTTAATCTATGATATGAAAAATGATAAAAGGGGGGTTCAAGATGTAAAATTTCTAAATAACATCTTGAAACCAAAGGAGGATTCGAGTTGAAAACCTGAAAATGCGACTCGAATATTGAATGGTGCAACAATAACATAAGAGACGATCATAAGCTCTTGATGAAGCACCACACATCCCAAAGACGTTCCTGAAATTCTGGAATCAAGAAATATCTCTATGAGATGAATACAACAACTATTTCTTCAATTTAGTGAACGCTCAAAAAGACATATATACTAGACCAACCTGAAAGACCTTACTTTACCAGAATCAACTTACACCTTAAATCAGTCGATAATTTTGACACTTGCTATAGGACTATAATTTTTGAATGATTTAAAAGAGTATTTGATATTCTTTGAACTTATGCTTGTGATTTGATTCAATTGTGAACCTGTAAGGGGTAATATTTTTACAAAATTCTTTCATTCTTTGATAAAGAAAGGAGGAAAACATTTTCAAACAGGACAGTCTCAAAGGAGAAAGGTCTTTGAAGCAAGTTGACGCTTATTCTACCTCTATCAGAGAAAAAGAATAAGAAATGTCAGAATATGAAGCACTTCACATTCTTGAAAACAAGTGGTTCAATAAGCCAGAAAGTCTGGAAAATTGCACTTGTAAACACTCTTTTGTGACATTATCAACAATTCATCAAGAAGGATTACCCTATTCAAAAAGGACATATATCCCAGTGCATAGCAAAAAGGGCAAGAATGCGACCAAATCAAGAAGGAGATAATCATCTCATTCAGAATAGACACATATCTTAGACATTTCTGTCATAATGATTGATTACTTCTTAAATGTTTGTGGTGACAACATGAAGAGAATCCCTCAAGTTAATTAACAACATTGTTGTTTAGTAACAATGGAATGAGAGCATTCAAGAATAACATATTTGTCCATGAAGAGAGCTACAAGTACTCACAATAAGATATTTTGTACCTCGTAGGAATCATGAGATTCAAATTCAATAGACATTGAGAGTAAACCTTTTGACTTGAAGGTTGGATGTATTTTTGAAGGTCCATATTATCTATCTGGGGCAT